CCCTCGCCTCTGCACTCCCTGGATCTGCTGCCAGTTCAGCCCACTCACCCAAAAGCTGCCCAGCTCACCCTGCAATTCACAGCTTTCAAAGCTGCGCTGGTGTCACCAGAGCATCAGGACCAAAGAAATCCCTCTCTGGGGCACCCGGTTCTCCCCTAAGGGCAGGAACCTGTCACAGACACAAGCTCCTCGCTGGTCCATTGTCCGACGAGGCTCCACACACATATTTTGGTAAAAAGCACAACACAACCGCCCAGCACAGAGCCTAAGACTCAGGAGGGGTGACTCTGCCTGTCTGACAGCTAAAAAACAAATGTGAGAGGCCACAAGCACCCAGGCCTGAACATCACTGCTGCTACACCAGCATCCCCAGAGCCCGAGTACTCCAGCAGGCAGAGCGGGAAAAACTCTCCCTCTTCACCCTTTACAGCCTTGTCAGAACACGCATCAAACCCAGCTATTCTCAGCGCCCAGGCCTGGGTGTGCATGCCAAGCCACAGCCATCTGCCGTGCTACATCAGTCAGCTTTTGCTCTCACTTGGACGCCTTCTCCCTTTCCTGCTGCTCAAACTGGTAAAAAAACCCTGCGTGCAGGGGCTTTTCGTGGCTGGTCCCCACAACCGTGTGCTGCACCCCACAGCACGCAGGGGTTTGGGACCCTGATACAAAGGCCCAAGCAAGTAGCACACACAAATAAACCAAAAACACAGCAGCCAGACCCTCCTGAAAAGCTTGTCACCATCTTTCTCATAAGCCCCTTGAAGTACTGAAGTCACAACAGGTGTCTCCGGCGCCTTCTCTTCTCCAGGTAAAACAACCTCAGCTCTCTCAGCCTGTCCCCGTAAGGGAGGTGTTCCAGTCCTCCCATCCCTGTTTGTGGCCTCCAACAGGTCCATGTGTTCCCTGGGCTGGGGTTCCTCCCATTTCTGCACAGCAAGCCCAGAGGAATGCAGGACTCGGACAAGATCTCCTACCAGTGCTATGCTGGGAGGAGCCGTTGAGAAGCAGCAACTAGAGCGTTACCCCCCGACGCTGCACCCCGAACCCCAGGCACTGCTCAGATGAAAAGTGAAGTGCTCCCTCCACACCCCACGTGTGTGTAACCTGCGGAGAGCCTCGAAGCCAGGTTTCTGTACCCTGTTGGGGTGGGCTGGACTTCAAGAGTTTGTTTGAGCCTCTCTGCAGGAGGCCCCTGCAAAGAGATGAAAGGGACCGATGGCTTGTTAGAGCACGGCGGCAAAGACCTTAACCCTTTCGCTCTCTTCTCAGTGTAATCTCAGAACTGTCAGGTCTCCCTGTCCAGGGCGCGTGTGGGTCTGTATGTACAAGTCCCTCCTGACATCTGACAGCTCGGAACAGCAGCACAGCGAGAAAAGAGGAGACAACTCCTTTGTAGAGGAGCCCCCAGAATGCAAAGGAGCCTTCAGTTACCAGCACGGTCAAAATAATTCCACTCCCCTTTACCCAACCGCACCACTTACCTTCTGAGTCACTGTCGCCTTCCAATTCTTCCTCGTCCTCCTCAATTTCATACTCTCCTTCTTCTTCGTCGTCATCCTCGCCGTACTCCTTGCTGCTTGCTTCTGAACTGTCGTCTGATGCCTGCTTGGCTTTGCCTGCAAGAATTTTTACTCTGTAAATGGCAGACAAAGGGCACCACACAAGCAGCACATGCAAAGGGCAAAGTCCCACCATCCCAACATTCATCCCCACAAGTACACTCGTACACAGGCTAAAGAGAAAATTTACCATATTTCTCCAAAAGCCGTGTTCCTTTGCCCTAGAGGTGGGCACGTTTTGTTTCAGAGGCCTCTGGAACAGGATTTCTTTTACTCACATGGAGTTCACTTCAGAGGAGCATCTATTTCTTTTTTTTTGCACCATCCTCCCTCCTCAGCAGCTGGCCTGTGCTACTCACCGAACTGGACACAGAGCCATTAATAAGCCGGCTGCCAGCATTCCCAGCTCCCCGTCATCCCCCTCCTCGCTCTGCTTTCACCCATCTGTCAGCTCTGCCAAGCACGCAGCCTCCGTGCAATTGCCCCCGGAGGGACTGGAAGCTCCATCTCATGGCCGCAGCTCTCCCGGGCACCCACAGCCATGCGGAGAGCACCCGCTCCGCGGGAGATGGATTGTGGTGCAGTCATTGACGGGCACCCCAGAGGCTCAGGCAACGAGCGAGAGGGGCAGGCTCCCATCCATCAAGCAGCACTAGCAAAAACGCCAGCAGATCTGGCCATCGGCTCAGCTGAGCACGTAGAGAGCTCTGAGAGTGTACAGAGAGCCCAGCTGTGGGCAGGAATCAGCTCTCAGGCCCTCGGGTCACTCCTGAGGGCTACAACACTGGCAGCAGGTCACCACGAGGAATTTACTGAGCTTCTCCTGCTTTCCCCTCCCCTAAGCTCAGCTCCTGCCAGGCAGACCCTGAGCTTCCCTCTCCGAAGGGCAGAAGCAACGCTCTAGAAGACAACCCTTCAGGTGTTGCCCAGCTGTGGGCAGGAATCAGCTCTCAGGCCCTCGGGTCACTCCTGAGGGCTACAACACTGGCAGCAGGTCACCACGAGGAATTTACTGAGCTTCTCCTGCTTTCCCCTCCCCTAAGCTCAGCTCCTGCCAGGCAGACCCTGAGCTTCCCTCTCCGAAGGGCAGAAGCAACGCTCTAGAAGACAACCCTTCAGGTGTTGTGGTCAACCAGCGCTTTCTCCCCTCTTCCTCCTCACTCTGTCTCTAGATGTGCCTCGAGCTGACAGCCCTATTTTGCCACGGAGAAGGGCCGTGATTATTCTGCTAGGAAATGAAAATGTCTGACCTCTCCCTTCCACGCCCCTGGCCTCCGCCAGTCTGGCATTAAATTGATGTAATATGATTACGTGAGGAATAAATGAAGAAACCTGCTCAAGTTCATTAGAGGCACACCAACACCTAACGCGGACAGATCCCTCCTTACAGCCAGGCTCGGAGAGACGCTGCAGCCACGCTCCCTGCTCGCCTGTAATTGCCTCGTGACGAGGCCGACCAGCACCTCTTTCTAATAATTTCCAGGAAGAGCCGCCTTTCCTCCCAGAGATCTGTCAGCTGGTAAATGAGAGAAATGCATGAACATCCCCACCCCCAACAGCGACACAGATTCATCAAATTCACCTTCTTTCCGCCCCAGCTCCCGGCTCTTCCTACCCTTGCCCGCTCAGGGGTTCCTGAAATGCACAAACGTGTTTCTCTCTCCTCTTCCCACCTTGCAGAGACCCAAGCGAGGGAGTCTCTCCCACCCACCCAACGCTTCCTCCGTTCTCAAGGGCAGCTTCTCTTGATGTCATGGGACTGTTTGCCTTCACCACCTTTCCTGGCCCCTTGGGGAGGATGCCAGGGGATGTGCAAACCTGCTGGAATGAGCAGGTAGCTTTCACCTCCACCTGCACACGGTAGGGGAAATGCCCCTCAGATCCATGAGATTCAAAAATGACTAAAAATTCATGACTTTCATTCCTTTTCCTGGGAAGCAGCACCTCCCCACCACACCTGATCTCAGTTGAGCTCTTCCAGTGCCATGGCAGATGGCTAACCAGCACTCCTGACTGCCAGGCTCTGAGAGGAGCAGATACGTTTCGTGCTGATGAACTTACTGACTGAATTCTGAAGAACTGTCCACCACCCCCTCTGTTCTTTCAGAAACCCCTAAAATCAACACAAGTGCCGGTACTGACAGAAGAGGGGGCTTAAACTGCAAAGAAACCCAGTAAGACTCCTACAAACACGATTGCTAATCTTGCCATGCTTCAGAAGAGATTCATTCATCCACTCCCTGTTGGGTTCAGCAAGGCTTGAGAAGCAAGAACGAAGGTTCAAACGGGTGGGAAGACCTGCGGCTTACAGCAAAGGCTGAAGTCAGGGTTGGGACTCAGGGAAGAAGAGATCTGCAAAGGAGCCAGGGAAATGGCTGCCGCCGGAGATAAATGGCTCGTCGCGGTTTGGGCTGCTGTGAGGCTGCCAAGGCTGAGGTAAGGACGGATCAGAGAGCTGAACTACTGCTGGGCCCTGACGGACTAGGAGAAGGCCTGGGCCAAGGGGCACGGGTGGCCTGCTAATGGCCTTTCACCTCTGGCCTAATGCAAAACTGAGGTTCAGATTCAGAAGAAGACAAGCCTAAGAGAGAGATTTATGCCTGGATCCTACATGGCCCATTAAAGCAGGCTGATGGCTTCAGCTAGCACGAGAAGTTCAGCGAGCTCACTGGGCAGTAGGCTTAAATAAAAAAATGAAATAATGCTTTTTTTCAAATAATGTCTCTATGTTAAAGTTGTGTCATGTCTTACCGTGTTACCAGAGGATGCTGTGGAAGCTACGTTAACAACGAGGATCAGGCACAGTCCGGGAATGAACAGATTCACCAGTGAATATTCAAAAATCCCCACTCCCTCCACAAGCCTCTAAGCTGCTGACCACCCTGTAACCTCCCCTGCCCTGAACATAATTTTTCCCCTTCCACATACTGCAAGAACACCAGAGGGGTTTAGCTTCCACCTGCATCTTTAGGCACCTGCCTGTCATCCCTCTCCTCAACTCGTGCAATTACAGTGCAATCCTGAAGCTGAAAGGTAGAAAGACTCAAGGCCAGAGCCAAATTTCACCTCTGAATTACTCCCAGCACGTGCCCTGTGAGGATCCACTGCCGTGATGCTGTGTCCACAACGATCCTACCCATCGGAACCTGCCTCCCTGCTCCGTGCCGCAGTTTCTCCTACTTTTCCGGGAAATCCAGGATGCTTTTGATCCGACTCGAGGCACTCCCTGGTGCCTGTTCCGGGAGGATTCTGGAGGAGGTGCCTCTGGCAGATGCTGGTGCCTCTCCTGCTTCCCAGCGGGAAGGAGAGCAGGGGCGGGTGGTTCCCATCTGGGAGCTGCGAACACCGACCTGCTGGCAGCTATTTCCTGCAGCAGCGCCTGGGGCTGGAGGCAGCAAATCTTCCTCTGCTGCAGCACAGCTGAACATGGGGGAGGAGGTGGGTGGACGCTCAGAAGAGAGGGGAAGGTAACGCACAACTGCACCAGGGCTGCAGGAGGGTGACGGGATCTGAACGTTACCCCCTTCCCACATGCAGGAACAATTTTCATCATCCACCTTTTCATCATCCACCTTTTCATCGCGTATTCTGTGAGAATAGGGAGGTTCCCAATGCCCTCAGCCTGGGAAACAAAACGTTCCAGTCCCTGCCTGGGACTGGAAGGACCTCTTCAGCAGCCTGCTCTGCCCCAAGAAATACAAAGGTCTTTGAGGTAGAAGATAGCTAATGAGTGAGATGTTTTGGGGAGCAACGGTTAACCCAAGATCTCTACCCACTCTCCAGGACCACCCTCTTCCAGAGAGATTAGGGACAGTGCAAATGGAAACCAACATTTCACTGATGCCATATGTAATTTCAAGCAAAAGAAAAGGTGAGGGGTGCTTTGAACAGCAGCTGTATTTCTTGCTTTCCAGATATATTTCTTGCTTTCCAGCTGTATTTCTTGTTCTCCTCTCCCAGAAGGTCCATCCAGGGCAGTTTTATCTTCCTGCCTAGATTTCTGCCACCAGCTGCTCAACAGCAGTTGGAGGCTGATGCAAGATGAACCAAAGTCCTCCCACTGTCCCAGACTCTCCTTTGGCCTTATTCAGAGAGGGCATTGCTATGCCTTCTAACCTCACAGGTAAAGAAGTGAATACAGCAGCTGCAGGGCCCCCCCAAATTCCCCTGCATCTGGCCACCCGGTAGAACAATGGCCACAAAGACAGAGAACTGCAGAAAACTGAAGCACGGGCTTCTCCGACTTCCATCTGCAGCCAGTCCTGACAGTTTCTGAATGCAGAGCACGGCTGGGAACATCTCACACCCCACACAGAGTAAGAACAAGAGCTCATTGTGTGCATCTCCCAAGACACAGGCACTTTTCCCAGCCTCCCTGCGCCCCATCCCTTTCCCACCATCGCCTGGAGGGGACTTCACCCGATGCTACAGCACAGACCCAGCGCTCCTCCGCCTCCACCCAACACCCCAGGACCCGTGGTGGGGCTCAGCACAGTTGCTCCTTGAGCTGGAAGCTGCCTTCAAGGCCTGTTCCCTCCCTCCAGAAAACACCCTACCAAGAACAAAGGCTACGGAGAAGCAGCCGCCCCAGGAATGTTGGAGGGCAGGACCCACTCACTGACGCTGCAGCGGTGATGCTCGGCCACCGGATACCGCAGCTGTAGGGGCAGGGAGAGCCCTTTGGTATCATGTGGACCTTGGTCTTCATTTGCCCTCTCTTCACAACATACATCAGCCCCTTAAAGCTGCCAAAGAACCCCATGGACAGATGTCACAAGCACGTGCCCAGGCAGCGGGGTAAAAGTCTTGCCTAACAGGTTGG